CTGACTTCAACCCCTGGTACCAAAGAAAAGAAAAGAAAGAAATACATGGGTAGGCTCAGAACTCTTGTTCACTGACCTCTTTTCCTTAAATTGGAAAAGAACTAAATGCATTGAATAATCACAAAATCCATACATAACAAGAAACACAAAGAATACATCTGTAAATAACATTATTAGGAACACTTTGACAAGCTCTACAGTGTTTCTCATGGAGCCTCCTTCAGGACCTGTGCCCAGTGTGAGCCCAGGTGCCAATGGCACACAGATCACCCTGTGATGGACCAGCTTCCCAGGCTGGTCTTTGTTATGCAGCCCTCCTAATTCAGCCTCCCAAGCTACTGGGATTACAAATGTGCACCATCACACCTGGCTAGTAAATCCTAGTTTTTCTCAATTTTAATTTGCAATATTGTAAATGATTTATACAATCCAGATAGACACAGATTGAGATCTTTGAGATCCTCCATTGCAAAGGGAGTAATAGAATCCTCACCAAAGTGTTGAGAATCTGAATTATTTCATTCCCTTTAAATTGCAGTTGGAGAAGCTGTGATAGGAACTGGCTAGATGACTCAATCTAAGTCCAAAAAGCTAGTCAATTTTGATGACCCCAGAAAAACCTATTTTACAAATGAAATAAATTTTTTTTTATTTTACTGAATACTAATAGAACATTATTGCTAGCTATACTGAGGCTCTTATGACTTTTTTAATCCTCCTAAAAACTGCATGGTGACTCTTACCAAACTGTACTCTGTGAGCCGGTTTCTTTGAGGAACATGGAGAGTGTTCCTTGGGAATCAGTTACATCTTGGGTAAGTTAACCATCTTTTCTCCAGTTCCAGTTTTTTTTTGGTCATTGCATTCCATAGAGTCTCAGTAAAGGAACACCAGTAATATCAGGAAGTTTTCACTTAAAAATAAGGACTGTGTCTGCAATGCCTGTTTATACCACCATGCACACACAACGCTCCCTCTATGTAACCTATAAAATCTGTGCATGGTTGGAAGCTTGGCATATTGATGTCTAGGTTACCCTTCACCGATTCCCTGAGAAGCTGTGAGGCTATCCTGAGAGATCTGAGTCATGTTCTAAAAACACAATTGATTTCAGACAATTTTTTCAGCTTAGCTAAATTCTAAATTTACCTTTGGATTTAAATGCAGCACAATATCATTATTTTGACATATGCAATGTAATTCCTCTAGTTTTCCAAGAATGACCTTCCTTGATGGTACAAAATCTTTTAAAAGAAGCAAGTAACTAATGTACTGTTCCACACCAGCATAAACATAGAAATCATGCAGCACTTGGAATAAATAGAAACTGTTTTCCATAGCATCGTGGTGAGGTAAGCTCCTGTTGCAGCCTTCCACAGGGCAAGAGTCTGACTGCAGAGACTAGCTTGAAGCCATCCTCTCCTAACTCTCCCTTTGTGAAAGACCATGCAGAGGCCAAGAAGACAGGAGACAGTGGGAGAGGAGCACAGCCCAGCACAGGACCGGGCCCGGGCAGGCCCTGCTCCACACCGGGGCAGTGGCAACAGCTGCACACAAGTTATGTTTGCCAAACATAGACCTGTGCATCTAAAGGGAGTAGGTCATGGTAACTAAACACACTTCAAAATATCCACAGGAAAATAGAGGAAAGCATACCAAACCATTAACTAAGGAAGATGTAAGTATTTCTTAGAGTGAATACATAATAGGTCTGTGTTGGGAGGAAGGAAGAAAAGGAGGAAGAGGGAGAGAAGGCTGACAGGACCTGACTGCACCTGCAATGCATGAATGGCAGAAAAAGGAGTCACAATCACAGTCGTCTTCTTTCACTTCTCCACCCACTGGGAAAAGACAGGCTATGAGAGATTTCCGAATGGTCCTTAAAGGGAAGGACCATCTTCTGTCCTCTCTTTTTCCTTCTTCTTGCTGGTTAGAATGAGGTGCAATGACCGGAGCTCTGGCAGCCACCAGGAAACAAAAGGTTATATCAACAAGGAAACAGCACAGCAGAAGAGAAAGAAGTGTGCTCCTCTGGATGTCTCAACCCCGTTCAACCTGAGCTGCCTATCCCAGGTTTCTTTGCAGCCAAGCACTTGCTCTCCATCCATCACTCTAGAGAACAGAGACAGCACGGAAACCTGCACATGAAGGGTAACAGAAGTGTTGCTCATAACATTACAATACACCCCTCCTCAGGTGGATGGTTAAGTGAACTAGGGCAAAGCCACACCGTGAAGTAAACAGACCACTGGTACAGTTGACCACCGAATAGCTCTGAGCCCCGCTGAGTGGAAAAGATCCCATGATCAATCATTGCTTAGTACCAAGTTTTCAGCACACAAGCTTTTTTATTTTTATATTTTTTAGTTGTGGTTGACACAATACCTTTATTTATTTATTTATTTTTTATATGGTGCTGAGGATCGAACCCAGGGCCTCGCACATGCTAGGCGGGCACTCTACCGCTGAGCCACATCCCCAGCCCCAATACACAAGCTTTTGGGGGATGTTCCAGATCCAAAACATAAACGACCCTCTTTTTTCTAGAAGAATTTTCTCTTACCCAATTGTCAACTCATAAAAAGTACAAGAAAAAAGGTATGTTTGAGAGGGAACTTGAGTGTGCGTATAAGATTTGGCACACAAAGGAGAACAGAAAGAGGCTACACAGGGCAGCAGGGTGTTGTATAAAAATGCCAAGTGTTATTCATCCATTTGAACCCAGATATGGGCTGAGTGTTTTAATCTGTTGGTTAGGAGTTACATCCCCTTCTGTAAAAATTGCAATAATCCTCTGATGGACTCCGATAGCTTTGTAAACACCATAAGTTACCACTATCAGCATCTTTTCAGTCCAGGTCCCAGACAGGAAAACAAATGATTCAAAGTACTTTAACAGACATCATCTGGGGGCGGGAATATTTATACAGGTGTCCAAGAGCCAAAACAGAAGGTGTGATTACAAGGGAAACTCCTTCATGGGGAGTAGTCACCAATCCTAGTGCTGGTGGCTGGGTTGTATTATCAGGGCTCAAACATGTATCGCTGGGGTGGAAACAAGGAAGGAAAGAGGCTGTTCTAACTGGCTCTGGATTCTGTGAGGGAGAGAGCCATTTCCCTGGATTCCAGAAGCATAAGAGAAATGAGCAACTATAGCTTTCCTCTGTTCTGCCTTCTGAGTTCCTGTGTTCTCTGGGAAGATGCTTCCTGGAGGCCAAATGACAAGATGGCTGCAAAATGCAGTTTGGAGACTCCTGGCCTAACCACCATCTCAGCAGGATGTAGGTGACCATGGGGCACAGCCCACAAGTGAGTATCAGGCATGGTTCTCCATTAGACAGTAAACACTATAAAGAGAAAGTGAGCTATATGGTCTTTAATCTTCAATAGATTTCATATTGTCTAGGGTTTGTGTAAAGTGCTCAGTATCAATAAATATCTGAATAAATGCGTATTCCCACCATTGATAAATACTTCAAATCAGTATCCAACTTAAACAACTGGCAGGTACTAAGAACTTATTTGTAAAGAAACACTTTAAAGCTGGGTGTAGTACTGCATGCCTGCAACTCCAGTGACTCAGGAGGCTGAGGCAGGAAGAACGCATATTTGACACCAGCCTTAGCTACTTAGGCCCTAAGCAATTCAGTGAGACTCCGTCTCTGAATTAAAATAAAAAAGTGTTGGTGATGTGGCTCAGTGGTTAAGTGTCTCTGGGTTCAATCCCTGGTACTTCTCCCCAAACAAAAGCACTTTCGCGCCCCCCCACCCTGTTTTTCCCCTTGAATGAGTATCTTTTTCCTAAATAAACCTCTGCCTATGCCTTCATATGGTGCCCACTGAGGTTCTTTTCTATCACCTATGCTAAGATCCAACTCCCCCTCCCCCAGTCGAATTCCCCAGCTCCTCTGGGAATGCCTCAGACCCTTCTCTGGAGACATCTTTTCTCCCATGACATCTCTTGGTGGCCTTTTTGTCTCTTCTAGATTACAATTTCATGTTAAAAAGCATGGCCGTGTAAGAATTCTAACCCATTCCCACAGCCATTTCCTGTAGGTCAGTCAGGTTGAGACTACTAATCCGGAAGGGGCAAGGTCATTGCTCCTTGCCACCCTGAAGCAGCCATAGAAGTCAAATCTTCACCCTTCACCAAACCTTTGTGAGGATGATGAGATGGCGATTTAGGTAAAGAGATGTACTGTGTCTCAAAGGAAACACCCCTGAGCCTCTGAGATGCAGAAAACACTCAGGAGGCCTTGCAACTGATGAGTGACAGGCCCCAAGTCCCCCTGTGGCTCCACCTCCAGTCCGGGCCCTGACTACTGCCCCTCTAAATACTGGAACCCAACTCAAGGAGGGGCATCTCATTCTGGAGATAGCCTGCCTCCTCCCTTTTATGTGTCTCTACTTCCTAAATAAATCTCTGAAAAAGATGCTTTAGCATATACGGTCAATAGGCCTGTAAGTGCAGGTCGCTGTGTGTCAAGCAACTTTTCAGGCCTTTCGCTTGAAACTGCTTTTCATTGCAGTTGAACAATACACAACAGGTTTTCCAGTCTGTGCACCACGGGCTGCTTATTCGTTCCCTTCTCCCCACTGCAGGCCTGACCCTGCTGCTCCAGGAGAGCAGGCCGAGGCCGCTCCCGACCCGCTCCCGGCGTCCGGCGGAGGCGGAGCTGGAGGGCTCGCAGCGCGGGCTGCTGGAGCTAGTACGCCCCCCACCCAGGGAGACTTGAGTGTGCGCTGTGGGAGACGCCAGTTAACCGGTAAGGTACCCAGAACTCAGAACCACCGAACCAGGCGAAATGACGCTGGCGCCCCGCAGCAGGCGAGCGCCCCGCTCGCCGCTCTCAGCGACTTCCGGAGCGCGGCGTCCCTCCTGGGCCACGGAGGAAGGGTCCAATCGCGGCGTCCTGGAGGCGGGACTTCCGGTAGGACTGAGCCAGTGCGGGCCGTGCCGGAAGTCGGTCCTGAGTGGCGAACGGCGGGGCCGGGTGGAGCGGAGCTCCTGGCGAACGTCGCGTCCCGCGGTCTGGGGCGGCCTGCTGGGCGGGGCCTGGTTTCCGCGAGAGACGAGGGCCGGGTGCTGTGAACCGCTGGGACATGGACAGTCGCCTGCAGGAGATCCGGGAGCGACAGAAGTTGCGGCGGCAGCTCCTCGCGCAGCAGGTCCGCTGAGGCCGGGGCTGGGGCCCGGGACGCGGTGCCGGGCGGCCCACGGCGGGCGGCGCGGCGCCGCCGGGGTGGCTTAGGCCGGCGGGTGGCTCCCTCCCTTCCCACGGTTTCGGCGGTCGGTGCCTTGCCCTCGCGGCCAGCACCGAGTTCTCGAGCTCAGCGTGGACTGCGTTTGCAGAACCTGCTGGGGACCTAGCGCCGCGCGGGAAGGAGGCCGGTGCAGATTCCGTCAGCACGCGTGCGGGTCACCACGGCGAATGTGTGAATTGTTAGGCCACACGACCCCGACATGGGTAGAGGTCCCTGCACCTACTGCATCATCAGATGGGGTTCGGAGGTGGAGTGACCCTGGCCTCGCCAGGAAATTGAGCCCAGTTGTCTCTCCAAAGCTTTTCCCCTAACCCCGCGTCTTCGCTGCTTCTCGTGCATCAGTTAATGCTTGCAGCTATCAGAGAGTAGACTTCAGATCTGCCGCTCAGGTCAATGACAGTGAAGGGGAGAGCACACGGGCTTCGTGCTTTTTTTTCAGCATTAAATCTAGTTTTAGTGAATGTTAGCCTGAAACCTCTTCTCCTTTATGATCTGATGAATAAATTTGTGGTATCCTGTTAAAATGTGGGAATTGAATCCGATCTGTTCCTTGTCTCTCTTTCATAAAGAGCTGGGACAAATCCAGGTGTCTAAGTTGTCCTGGTTCCACCTTCTTTTATTATGTTTTCAGAAATGTTCAGTGGCTCTTGTTGCCAGGAAGAAAGGTGTTTTAACTTTAATTATGATTCAAACATATTTAACTCAAAATACATTCACAGAAGAGTTATTAGTTGATTGCCTTACAGTCAGTAGATACAAGGGACTCTAGTGGGTGTTGGCAGATGAACTGTGAATAATGTAAGTAGCTCCCACCCTCAAAGAGCTTACAAAGTGTATAAAATTTAATAATGGCTGCCATTTATTAATTACTTTCTGTATGTCATGATTTGCTAAGCTTTTAACACTCATTGTCTTTGATCCTGCAAATAAAATGCTCTCAGTATTTTGTAGGTGAAAAAGATGTACTTAAAGAATTTAAGTTATGGGGCTGGGACTGTAGATGAGTGGTAGAGTGCCTGCCTCGTGCATGTGAGGCACTGGGTTTGAGTCTCAGCACCACATAAAAATAAATAAAGATTCGAAAAAAAAGAATTAAAAAACATTAGTTCATATGCCCAAGGCCACAAAACTAGTAAGTTTGTGAGCTGCAGTTTTAGCATAGGCTTTTACACCTAATACACTTCGCTGCCCTGAGTTTTCAGATGGATGTAAGTTAGAATGCCTGATGCAGTTAGTGACAGACACCTCATTCACTCTGTGAAAAAGGCAAACGGTGAAGTAGTCTCCAGAACATAGTTTATACAGTATAGGTTTTGATTTTTAAAATTTGAATTCTGTCTGTCCTCCTGGCACAGCTCAGAATTTAGTGATGAAATCTGTACTGATTTCCTTGGTCTAGGCTCTTCCTTTCAGACATTCTTGACCTTATTACTTAATCTGATACTATATATTGCTTGTTTATACGGTACTCACACTGTCCTGTGCACTCACAGATAAGCAGAGTATACATGCGAAGTATTTGACTTCTACTCTAGCATTGATGGTTGCACAAAGTAAGCCTTTAACAAACCTTTGTTGTTGATGAACCAAAGGAGTAGAACCCAGGTCAGTGTAGTCTGTGGAATGAAGACATGGTTGTAGTAAGTAAATAGGCCTAGACCATGGTGGTGACTGTCGATGCTACAAGCAACAGTTTACACCTGTCTTTTATTTTAACTTCTGCCTTTGTTTCAGAGAACGTGTATGTCTATAAAAGATAACAAATTATCAGAGATTACTCCAGTAATATTCTTAGTACCAGCAATATACTTGGGAGTAACCCCATTAGTGCAATAATATGCTTATTTGAAAATTCATGAAAAATGAGTGACTTGGTGTAGTCATTCTACAATTTAAAAAAAGTTTGAATGTGAGAAGACAATAGAAGCAGAATTTTGATATAAGGCATTTCTCTTGTAAAGCATTATATCCTCATTTAGACCCCAATAGACAGTCTCATTCCTTTATTTATGTATTTATTGAGCAGCTACTGTGAGGAAGTATTCCAATTATAGGAAGTAGATATGCTGTCTCCTGACTAAAAAGAAAAGGAGCCAGGAAGATTTTATTGGAGGAGCTGAAATTTTATGAACAGTTGATAAGATTGGAAGAGATGATGCTGCTGATGCTGATGATTTTGGTATCAGGGATTAAACTTAGGGACACTCGAGCACTGAGCCACATCCCTAGCCCTATTTTGTGTTTTATTTAGAGACAGGGTCTTGCTGAGTTGCTTAGTGCCTTGCTGAGTTGCTTAGTGCCTTGCTTTTGCTGAAGCTGGTTTTGAACTCACGATCCTCCTGTCTCAGCCTCCCAAGCCGCTGGGATTACAGGTGTGCACCATCATGCCCATCCTGGAAGAGATTTATCATTGGAGAAACTTGAGGGGCACCATGCGAAGTGGGTGGACTAGAAGGAGAGTGGGTGGCTATTTAAAGGCCAGTAACTTGCTGCTCTGATAAGCCTCCTCTCAAGGGACTATTCAGTGCAGATTTTCTCATGCCCTTCTTGTGCGTAAATGTGTAAGTGGCTACACCTTGGTTTGGCTTTCAGTTTATGTGAATTGGGCCTGTTTGACTTGTCCAGCCTGTGTTTACATTTGTTGCCACATTTAATTGCACAGTTTTCCCAGTTGCCTACCAAAATCAACATGACCATGTTTAAGGTACTAGTAAAATTCACTATTGTGCCTATAATCAAAAAGCCTAAATAAAACTGGGTGGATTTTTGTTAGATAATAGAATAAATAGGTACAATATGTGAACTGATTCATAAAAAATATCTTATATAAAATCTACATTAACTACTCTTTCTGGTTATTCCTACTACTACTACTACTAGTACACTTTTATGTACTTTCAAAGCAGGAGGTTGGCTAAAGTTGTGCCTCAATTTCCAATATAACTGAAAGCCTAATAAAAAACTTTTCTAGCTGCCAGAGTCAATCTTAACTAACATGGTTTTGTTATAGAGTATTTCCAGTTTGTCTTATCAGCTAATCCAATTCTTTGAAGTGTGAGTTGTGGTTTTTTTTCACTCATTTGTTTTTTAAATGTTTGATACATTACATTCTGCTACAAATGCCAGGAAGCGCTGTCCAGTGAATTGTGATTTGACTTGTTTTTTGCCATTCCTTAGTTGGGAGCTGAGAGCGCCGACAGCATTGGTGCTGTGTTGAACAGCAAAGATGAGCAGAGAGAAATTGCAGAAACGAGGGAGACTTGCAGGTCAGCCAAATCATCTTTTCTCATAACATGTTACTATTGTACTAGGATCTTTGTTTTAATAAACAACCCTAGGTCTGAATGTGTTATGAAAAATATCAAAATAAAGTTCTTTAGAAACATTGGTTTATATTGTCAGTTCATGACTTAAAAGATATTTATTTTTGACTATATTAAGTGCCCATTTATAAGTAGTTAGAAAATGGAATGTTAGACTAGAATTGGCTTATATATCTGATATATTTTCAATTATAATTTTTATATATTTATAAAAAATATACTTGGCCCTCAAAATGTATACACTGATAGTTTAGAAAGCATTTCAGAATTTTTTAAGTATTCTAGTTTATAAGAGTTTATTTTCTTATTTGGTTCCTTTCTCATAAAGTACAGAATTGTCATTGCATCAGTTTCTTGGATGATTTATAAACTGGGTAAAGAGATACTGTTTCACCAGGAAAGTTTTGCCTATACAAGCTATTTAATATTTCCAATAGACAGTATGCATCTTCTGTATATTTGTGTGTGATTCTTTGTTTTAATTTTCAGGGCTTCCTATGACACCTCTGCTCCAAATGCAAAGCGTAAGTGTCTGGATGAAGGAGAGACAGATGAAGATAAAGTAGAAGAATATAAGGCAAGTGGAGAATGGGGTGATTTTTATAGTCTAGAAAAAATAAATTCTTATAATCATAAGTTGACATCCAAGAAAACAAATTTGATAGAAAGCTGAGTTCTAAGGTGTGTTAAAATAGTTGTCAGTAGCAGAGACCATCGGTTAGATTATGACCTTTATGAACATTCCCTTATTTTAATGTAAGGGTTGTGCTTACCACACACTGGCCGTGATGTTTGTTATAAGAGGAAAGAGATATGTGTACCTTCTGGTGTGCACTTTTGTTGTTTGGAATTCCAAGAGACTGTAGCAGTCTTTGTGGGGGGGGTACTTGGGATTGAACTCAGGGGCACTCAACCACTGAGCCACACCCCTAGCCCTATTTTGTATTTTATTAGAGGCAGGATCTTACTGAGTTGCTTAGTGCCTGGATAAATTGCTGAGGCTGGCTTTGAAGCCACTATCCTCCTGCCTCCGCCTCTCAAGCCACTGGGATTATAGGCGTGGGCCCAGTTGCAGCAGTCTTTTTTGAGTTGCATTATTTTGTGTAACAATGTAGGCTAGGTAGGATAATTAGAATATTCTGAGAACTCATGGGCTAGAGAGCAGTGTAGAACCATTTCTGAAATCAACCGAAGAAAAACCCAACTTCTATACTTATAATTGCGGTATTTAGTTAAAAAGAAAGTATTATGGAAGAAAAGCCTACATTCTTTTTTTTTCTTTTCAAAATAATCATAGTTTCAGTAAATCTCTATGATGATATAATTCCTGATCTCATGAATATGGTCTTTTGTTTTATACTTTGATATGTGCTTATATATAACTTAAATATTTGTGATTATATTAGGTTGAGTCATGTCAATTTCTAATATTCTAACATTTTTGACCTATAAAATGTGCAGTTTCATATGGTTCAATCTAATAAAAACAAAATTTCATGATTCAAGCTAAATGCTAACATTACAGTAAATTATAGAGATAAATAATTCTAGACAATTCAGTCAACCAAACACTAGTAGTTATAGATAATTATTATTCGTGATAATGATAAGGAAATTTTGTTTTATTATAAAAATAATCAACTAGTTATTTTTAAAAGATTTTTTCCTTTATTTTTAATTGTGTCTTGTAAAAAGGTTAGGTCAAGATAATTACCACATCCACCATCTCTCAAACTTATTTACTAGTTAGATCTAGTGATGAAAAAGCAAAGACTTAAATGTTTCACTTTAATGCCAATATGAAATATTATGATAATTGAAAAAGTAGCCTATGTATATATGTTTCTTTAATCTTCATTTTTCAAGGATGAACTAGAAATGCAACAGGAAGAAGAAAATTTGCCATATGAAGAAGAGATTTATAAAGATTCTAGTACCTTTCTTAAGGTAAATAAAACAAGTAATTTACAAATCTTGTAACTTTTCACATTTAAGCTCTGTGCCTCAAAGATTCCCCCCCACCTTTTTTTTAAAAAAAAAAATCATACTGGGATCAAATTCTGGGGCTCTTTACCACTGGGCTAACCCCACAACCCTTTTTGTTTTTTGTTCTGAGACATGGTCTTAAGTCCTTGAACTTGGTATCCTTAAATTGCTGGGTTCACAGGCATGTGCATGTCTAGCCATGCTGGAAAAGATTTTAAGTACTTATTTTTCTTCAGGATTTTAAGTACCTATTTTTCTTCAGGATTTTTTCAGTTATTGAGGGATCATTATTATAAAATATTTTATAATCATTATAAAATATTATATAAAATAATATTTAAATTATTTATGAAATATTCTTATATTTGGCTATTTCAGATGAGACAATGGTATATTCACACCAGTAGTTGATGAAAAGTCATGCTGTCATTTTAGTGGTATTATCAAATATACAACTTTTAAAATCATATTTTGTTTGGCTTTCTAAGAAAAGACACAGTATGAAGTTATTGTATCCAAATCAGAGTGCATGCTGTTAACTTTGACTTTCTCTTTAGGGAACACAGAGCTTAAATCCCCATAATGATTACTGCCAGCATTTTGTAGACACTGGACATAGACCTCAGAATTTCATCAGGGATGTAGGTATGTCAGATTTATTTGGATTATGCTATTGCTATTATATGCATGTGTTTTTCAGTTTTGTAGATGATTTGTAAAGAAAAAAAAATCATTTTTTTCAGCTTGACTTCCTTTTTGTGTTCTGAGTGCTTTTAGTACACCTTTCTTTTTCATCAGCAAGATTACTTTTTGGGTATAATTTCTATACGATATAGTTCACCCACATTTTAGGGGTATAATTCAGTGTTTAGTATGTCCATAGCAAGTTGTCAACTATTATCAGTCTAATTCACAACATCTTCACCTCCCCTGAGGAAGGAAGCCCTGTACTGTACATTAGTAGACAGTCCACACTTCCTCTCATCTACCCCCAGGCTTACATGACCATTAATTTACTTTCTTTCTGTATAAATTTGCCTTTTCAGGACCTTTCATATAATTGGGATCATATAGTAGGTAGTCTCTTGTTACTGGCATCTTTTACTTAACATATTTCCAAGGGCCATTAATGTCCTAGCATATATCAGTCCATCATTTGTTTTTAGTACCAAATAATATTCCCTTTGTGTGTGAGTAAGTGTGTGTATGTGTGTGTGTGTGTGTGTGTGTGTGTACACCATATTTTGTTCATTCGTTTCGTTTTGTACTTTGGTCTATTAGGCTGAATGCTGTTATGAATAGTTATATAAAAGTTTTTATGTGGATGTATGTTTTTGTTTTTCTTTGGTATATACCAAGGAATAGAATTGCTGGATCTTATAATTCTTTTTCTTTTTTCAACAAAAATTTTTGACTTTTTTATTTTTATTTTTTTAAATGTGGTAATTCTGTATTTCACTTCTTGAGGACCCACTCCAGTGTTTTTCATGATGGCTCCACCATTTTACATTCCCACCGTCAGCGTGGAAAGGTCTCAGGCTCTTCATATCTGGACACTTGTCTGAGATTTTGATCACAGCTGTCTTAGTGGGTGTTGAGTGGTATGCCCTTGTGGTTTTGATTTGCATTTTTCCTAGTGACTGATAATGTTTAGTATCTTTTCATAGGCATATTTACTATTTCAATATCTTCTTTGGAGAAATATCTGTTTGGACATTTCTCAGTAAATCTTTAGTCCAAAATTTGTTTTACTGCTATAAAAAATTTATTTTCTCAAATTTAAAAAAATGATTTAAGACAGTTGGTAACATTTGGGGAGTAAATACCAATTTAGCTCCCTACAATATTAACAAATGCAAATGAATCAGAGGGCTAAAAATACTACAATGTGAAATTATTAGAATATATTTACTTTGTTGAAGAAATGAAAGCATTCTTTAAGAAAAACAGTAGTTATTAAGAGAATAAATACAAATTTAATATTCTACTAAAAAACTGAAAGCTGGGAGAAGTGGCACACACCTATAATCCCAGTAGCTCAGAAAGCTGAGGCAGGAGGATCACGAGTTTAAAGCCAGTCTCAGCAACTTGGTGAGGCACTAAGCAATTTTATTGAGATCCTACCTCAAAATAAAAAAAATAAAATAAAAAGGGCTGGAGATGTGGCTCAGTTGTTAAGCATCCCTGGGTCCAATCCCCAGTACCAAAAATGAAGACTGCAAACATAAAGTGTATCAAAATAAGAACATAAAAATTTTATAAAGCAAAATAAAGTTTAAAAGTTTGTGAGCAAAATATGAATGGATAAAGTGAAAACGGCTAATGAACATCAAAAGATGTTTAACATCATTAGTCTGATGACTAACAGAAACAAGAGGCAAACAGAAACAAGGCTATAACATTTTTCATCCATGTATTTGGCAAAATTTAGAGTTTAGTAGCCATGAACACCTCCATGTTCAGATGGGAATATAAATTCTTTGGCATCCAGGGTAAATGTGTAAGTTTGGATAGATTGGTGTTATTTCCTTGGAATTTGGGGGAGAACTCATTGCCAAAGGCCACAAAAAAGAAAGAAAGAAAAAAAAAAGTGTGAAAATCTTATCACCATCAGGTTTCCACAGTCAGCTCTCGACCCTCTATAAAACAGAAGGCACAACCTGAAACCACCCTAACCGTAACCTCTCTGTGGCCTGAGGAACACGCGTGGTACCCTGCTTGCAACCTGGGAGTGTGGTCGGCCTTTCAGATGTTGCACAAGTCAGATATACTTTCCAAGTACTCTCTTCTCAACTTCTTTCATCACGCCCTCTTTGAAATGTTCAGGGCTCTGTGTTCCCATCATACAAGGAGTTTCACTCTCGGATTTTGAAATCCAACTTCTACTTGATTCAAAATACATTCATACAACTTTTTCTCAACCTACAAGTTTGGTTTACTGTTTTTTCTCCCCAGGTTTAGCTGACAGATTTGAAGAATACCCTAAACTGAGGGAGCTCATTAGGCTCAAGGACGAGTTAATAGCAAAGTCTAACACTCCTCCTATGTAAGTGCTTTTGTACCATTACCTCCTTCCCAGCTCAGGTTAAGTGTCATGTGCTTTATTCTCTAACCTTCCTTTTTTTCAGAAGAAAAATGTCAATTTTATAAGTGTCACTGATACTTTCAGGCTCTGGTTTTCTGAGCCTGCCTATGAAATGAAATGAGAAAAAGATGACATTTGGGGGCTCCAGGAGGCAGGGCAGGCCTGCTGAGCTCCTTGTGCCCCCGTGCTGTCATCAAAGAGCAAAGGTGGACTGCACACTCGTGTTTGTGGGTCCCACCTCTTGTGGATTGGAACACAGGTGTGCCCCATCAGCAGCAGAGACCTACATTGCTTCAGAAGAGGCTTCAGGGTTCATTCTACTCAGATAAAATTTAACAGCTTGATACTTTCAGGTTGAATAATAAAGTTAAAACTGGCAGGGAGGGAGGTTATTTAGATATTTTTTTTCAAAAACGAAGAGCTCGTGAGCTCTGTTGCAGTACAGCTACTCAAGAACTCCAGGATTTTTGTAGATTTGATAAATTTTTTTTTGTGAATGTTATAAAAACTTGAACAATTATTACGTGTATTTTAAGTCATGAATGATGTTGTACAGAACACTTTGGCCACAATCTCGCAAGTTTTTTATGTTGAGTTGCTAGAAGGAGATACAGAATGCCATATCAGATTTAAAACTCCTGAGGATGCTCAAGCAGTAACGAATGCATATACTGAAATTAAAAAAAGCACTGCTGGAAACTCAGGTCTTTTTTGGTGATTGCAAACAGAGGTATTGGCAGAGGATTTTGGTAGATAGACAGTCCAAACTTAATCAGCCTCAGGAAAATAAGAGAGGCACTAAGAAATTAATCACCAAAGCTGAAAAGCTCAGACTGGCAAAGACTCAATAAGCAAGTAAACACATTATATTTTCTGAATATGATTGAAAATATTAAAGTTCACCTCTTAATTTCCCTGGATACTTAGCGATTCTTGGAAAAGCCATTTTTATTATAGTAACACTACATAATAAATGTATTTCTAAAATCTGCATTTAATTAAAAAATACCTTTGTTCTTAAAGTTGTAAATAAGACTTTTTTTCAAGAGGGAAGTACATTGTATCCCACAATTTATCATTAAATACTTTATTTGTTGTAGTTATGTAAGTCAATCTCAAGTGGTTTCATAAATGTTTTGAACATTAAAAAAAAAAAAAACTAGTGGGGAGGGGGTGCAAAATACCTATTTAAGATTAACTTGCTGTTTTTCTTCTTAATGTATTAGTTTGAAACTCTGGTGCTGGGCACACATTCTCCTCTAAATTACTTTTCAGCTTTCCAGAAAATTGGCTTTTACCTCTGAGTATTTTTTTTCCTTTTTAGAAGATAATTCAGGTTTATTGTATGCTTGATGATTTGCTTAAAATGCTTTTAAATGATGTTTTTTCTTATGAAGTAATTTGTTTATTAAAGAAAATTTAGAAAACTTAGGTGAAAAAAACAAGGATAACTTGAAGAAAACAAATTAATTATCACTTTCCTTCCTGAGGTCCCCCCACTTTCCTTCTTTGGTGCTAGGGATTAAACCCAGGACCTTGCCTAGCTGTACCACAGAGCTGAGCCACATCCCCGTCCCCTTAATGACTTGTAGTGTGACCATTCATTTTAACCTTTGAGCAACATGACATTTTCCTCCAAAATGTGTGTAATGTCTTTGAAATTGGAGAATATTTGTTTCATATTTAGCTAACTTTGAATGTTTTCTGTTAAACAATTTAATAAAATATATTCTGTTAGTCATTAGAAGAACCACAGATAAGTCTTGGTGTAGGCAGGCCTTATACTCTTAATATCCATTCAATTAAAAATACTCTTAACATTTAAAGCATATTAGGTTTAAAATACTTTCATACTGTGTGAAAATCACTTTTCAGTAAAGGCTAATAATAATAATGTTAGGTAATGTGAAAAGATTTATTATAAATATTTTACTAATGAATAAACTAACAAAAGAAAATTACATTCATATTTGGAAGCCATTTTTTAAAGGGACTAACTTAACTGAGGAATAGTTTTTTTAAATTAGCTGAAGCAAGAGGTGAGGATATAGCTGAATTGGTAGAGTTCTTGCCTAGCATGCACAAGGCTCTGGGTTCAAACCCCAGCCCAGCAAAAAAAAAAAAAAAAAAGCTTAAATTAGCTGAAGCACTGAAGAAAAAAAACCAACAACAATGAGGGGCTGGAGTTGTGGTTCAGTGGTAGAGCACTTGCCTAGAATGTGTGAGGCCCTGGGTTCAATTCTCAGCACAACATATAAATAAATGAAAAAATAAAGATCCATCAACATTTAAAAAAAAAAAATTCCTTAGGAAAGTCAGATGATAATAGAAAGGGGGTCAGAGATGCACATCCCAGTATACATTGTCAATATAAGAGTCCAGATATCCATGGGGAATATTTATTTTTGCTTCGTAGTGATTGCGTCTGTGTCCTAGGAAGACTTTCTGGTAGATAGTTTAATCTCTGTGCTGAAGAAAGAAAATGTGCTATAAAAAAGACTTTGAATAATTATCTTATGATTAATTAATAAGAAATGTTTATTAATATTTAAGAAATTTTATTACCATCTATAAAGTATTTGAAAATCTTTTACTTGTTTGTTTTTTGCCTTAATCACACAGGTATTTACAAGCAGATATAGAAGCCTTTGACATTAGAGAACTGACACCCAAGTTTGACGTGATTCTCCTGGAGCCACCTTTGGAAGAGTATTACAGAGAGACCGGCATCACCGCCAATGAGAGATGCTGGACATGGGATGATGTACGGTGACAGTGTTCATGTTTTGCTGGGTTTTCTGTTTTTCAAATGAATGCACATTTATGTGATAGAAAGAAAGACCACATATGCCATCTCTACTTTTGTAGAGATTATAAATACAGGTTTAAAGTATGTATTATGAAGGAGTGTCCAAGGTGCACTGACAGGTAGTACATATCTTTAATTTGATTCTTCTTTTTGAGGCAAAAATTGAGCAATTAGTGAGTGTAAACTGTAGAAGATTCATTCTTGGTTTTAGGGTACTTGGATATATAGCTAGGAAAGCATAAAAGAGTGTAGAATGATTGCTAACTGACTCTACAGGTGGTAAAAGAAGTTAAATAAGCTCTTAACCTGAATTAGTTACACAAGTGTCTTGTTTTATAACCAGTAATGAAAGCCCCACATACCAAGAACGATGCTAGTAGGTAATGCTTGGAGACAGAGACGAACAGGACTTGGTATTCTGCCTTAAAGTTTAACAGGGTGAATGTTGCTCAAAACCAGTGAATGCCTTGCAGTTTCATTGGCTCAGTAATGGAGGACTGCATGAGATGACCTGAGAATAAGGCCCAGCCTAGCAATGTGGGGCATGTGAACTCTGAGAAGATGACAGCAGAACAGTTGAGTTAGCCAGGCAAGGAAGATATTGGACAGGCTTCGACAGAAGGAACTGCAAGAACAAGAGGAATGGAGGCCACCGACTGGCTTGTGGGGTGGAGCAGGTCTTCCTGTGTGTTACTCCTGTTGGACACAGATTGATCTGTTCTAGGAGCTTGACTTTCATTCTGAAAACATTACAAAGTATTTGAAGGTTTTAACCAGTTTAAGAAAGAACATTGGATTAGTGTGTAGAGGTTGAGCTAGAGGCAAAGAAGTAATGGGGAGGACAGTTAGAAGTCTCTTGGAGTAACCTAGTCCTGAGATGATGGGACCTTAAATTAGGGTGATAATAGAAAGGTGATACATTTAGTAAAGTTCAGGAGATACATTTGGTTAAGTGTGTGGGATGAGGGGGTAAGTGAATTTAAGAATAGGAGCAGAATTAGATGGACTTGATAACGTTGAACATGTTGACTTCAGGTGTATGCGGGACATTCAAGTGGAAGAGTATGAAACTTAAAGAACAGATTAATCTGTTTTCAGAAGACAGATGTTGGAGGATAAGCACATTATCTCATGTAAACAGATGAGTTTATTCTAGGATAATGTCACAGATAAGATAAAAGTGGACTAACAGTGAAGTCTAGGGAAACACTTATATTTAAGGGGCACATATAAAAGAAATATAAAAAAGAGATAAGTGAGGAGAACCAGGAGAAAGGGAATGCCCTAGGAACCAAGCAACAGCAGATTTCAAGAAGAGTTAGAAAAGTCTTGTGCAGAAGGTGCAGGGTCAGGAAGGGCTGCAGTCATAGTCTGGTGCCTTGTAGAAAGGTGCTTGGGTTTTTGCGTATTTTTTCTCATTTAATGGTTGTTGTTCTAAATAACACGTTCTTCCTCCTTGAAGTTTTTCCTCTTAGCTTTAATACACTTAGCACTTTTATTTACATTTTGGTGGCTCTTAACCACTTTAAAAATGTTTTTTAACTTGTGCTCATTGTTGAAAAATCAGAAAAGTGTATAGAATGTAGTATTACCCAGACAAAAAGATTTAGTAACTGAGAAGTTTTCCATATTGGTTTTACACATTCACATTCCTAGAGGTGTTTAACCATCTCGAGTTCATCATGTTCTCATCAAAACTGAGTAGTAATAAGAAAACACCTTTGTCAGTTTAGTCAAAAGAAAAGAAAATCTAAGCGTTGAGTTTTATCACATTTAGGATTCACATTGGGTTGAACTCTGTATTCTCTGGCCAGTCGGTGAGGTTTGGTTTTAAAGGCACAGAGCTTCAGTTACACATAACAGATTCAGCTATTGTGTATGCAAAGTCTTGATTGGAGTTTAATTTCACTGAATTTCAGCTCTGGCTGGTGTATTGAAAAGTTCTGCCTGGCCCCCAGATTGCTAAGCTCTTAATTTTTATGTGGCATTATTCTGAAGAAAGTGCCAGGGGTTACTGTAGAAGGCAGAATGTGAATGAGAAAATTGTTGGTTTTCCACAAGTATTCATTTTCATGTTAGATAGCCAGTAGTGGTCGGTGGGTTTTAACTGGGGGACGTAAGCACTTATTTAAAATACCCACAGGTAGCTTTAGAGAATAATTAATTTACTAACTGTTCTTCTCTAGATATGTTTTCGCCTATCTATAGCTATATCACTTAAAGATATGTAGGAATATATGTGTATATGTACTATGTGTATTTATTCATATTCTTATATTTGATAAAAGGTTATTATATCATGAGCATATTGGATGAGGAGAGATTTCAAGACTTAAAAAACATCAGTGTAAAAAGTATAAAAAATTGGTCTATACATGTGCTATTTTCATTATTACTGTAAAAAAATGTCTTTGATTTAAGAGATGGAATGGTTTTAACTAACATTGATTTGATTGAGGTAGAAGTTAAGAATTTCTTAATAAATGAAACTGATAAATTCTTGCATGAACCATGGTCTCAGAAATTTCTTAACTTTAGAAAAAACCAAAAAGGTAAAGAATGTCATATAAATTTGTTGCTTGCATAATCACTGCTCACAATGTAGATTTAATTATTGAAGGACTTTTTTTTTTTTTTTTTTAATGTACTGTGGCACAACACATTCAAGGTAAACGATAATGGAATGGGGGAGAGCATTTTAGACTTAAAGTAATCATAAGAAAACACTGCATATTGATTTATTGAGAAATATTCTTCTTCTTTTTTTTTTTTAAGTTAGAACTGGGGATTGAACTCAGGGACACTTGACCATTAAGCCACACCCCCAGCCTTATTTTCTATTTTATTAGAGACGGAGTCTCACTGAGTTGCTTAGTGCCACGCTTTAGCTGAGGTTGGCTTTGAACTTGCAATTCTCCTGTCTCAGCCTCCCGAGCCACTGGGATTGCAGGGAGAAGTACTCTTATGGATACCAAAATCATAGTACATTCCAAACATTTGTTATTACATTTCATTTTAATTTTGCCCCTAACTCTGGGCTCATTTAACCTCATTCCATTTCATTTTCTTTTTTCTAGTATAATGTTGCTTATGTACCTCTCAACTTCTGTCATATGCCATAATTCTGAAAATGCAATTTCCTGTTTATTCTTTCCATATAAAAATAACTCTGTGTGTGTGTATATTATGTATATATGTGTGTGCGTGTGCTCGCACGTGCGTGGGTTGACATATGGGTGTGTGTTGCTTGTATATAAACGAACAAAAAACAGGAGAACAAGTGATTTTTTTTTTTTTTTAGGATAAAATTGATTTTCCATCAATTTTATTTCCTAATGGGTACATTTAAAGAACATATCTACTGAGAATTCTGGTATAGGAACAATTGATGGTCATTAGTTTCAATGTGGGATGAATAGGAAACAAAATATTTGTACGTATTTTGTGTATAATATTTCACATATGTTTGGTTTCTTACAGATCATGAAGTTAGAAATTGATGAGATTGCAGCACCCCGGTCATTTATATTTCTCTGGTGTGGTTCTGGGGAGGGATTGGACCTTGGAAGAGTGGTGAGATGCTGTTTTTATAAAATATAAAACAATATATTAGGGGTGGGGTTGTAGCTCAGTGGTAGAGCGCTTGTCTAGCACATGTGATGCACTGGGTTTAATCCTCAGCACTACATAAAAATAAACAAAAGTTTTGTGTATCTACAACTAAAAAAAATTTTTTTTAAATATACTGTGTAATACATTTGAAGATTAATGTTGTTTTGTTCTTTGTTTCTTGAATAGTTTTAAATATGCTAAAGAAAAAAACAATACCCCTGACTCAGCTAAGGCTTACTGGGGAGAATGCAGCTCTTTCAAAAATGTTTGTCACAGCTGTAAGAACACAATATTTTAGAGATTTGAAGCTCCAAACTATAGTACAAAAATGAGCTTGGTGTCATTTATGGTTCCTTATAATTAGCTAAAAAGTGTTGCTCTGAATAGCATGGACTCCTGAATTGTAAATGACAGTCAAACTGGAATAATAACTGCATTTGAAACAATTTGAATGAATAAGAGTGAGAAAGTAATTATAGCACTTTTAATGTATTTTCAGTTATATCAGAGCTTCTCTGTGCCAAAAGAAACACAATAATAAACTGTTCAAGAAGAATAGCACGAGCATTGCAGCTGGGATCAGGAATCAGCTCAACTGCTCCCCAGCACAAAGGCACTTGGTCTTGTGGGTCTTGGGTCTAGACACATGTTATGGGATTAGACTTCCCACTCTGAGGACACACTTCCTGTCATGCAACAGACGGTCTCATTCAGCCATGCTGATTTGGGGAGGTGGCTGAAGAGTTTAAGCATGATTATGTGAGATTACAAGTAAGAGTATACTGAGATAAATCTGTGCTCCATCGCTGAAGCTCTGTGGTCACTCTGTTCTTTTTTAGAAGTAGTGAGCTGAAGCTGGTGGGCAGCATTGCTGCTTCCAAGGCTAGACCATGATTGTATTCCAGCTGGGTCTGTGCATTTATTTAGCAGTAGTTCCCCAAGGTGCTGTGCAAAAACAAGAAAGGAGAGAGAAAGGAACACTGTTTGCTTCTATAGGCCTAGTGGTATTTACCTTTTCTGGTTCTAATGTCTGACTTTGGTCTTTCCTCCTCACCCTCAAATTCAGCTGATGTGTTTTTATTTTATTTTTAAAAAATTTTCCCTCCAGTTTTGGAGATTTATCCCAGGGTCTCTGCATGCTAGGCAAGTGCTCTACCACTGAGCCACATCCCCAGCCCCAAATTAAGTTGAAAAATGACTAGAAGGGTCTGTCTTTTTCATTTATGGAGCAGAGCATCTCATTGGTGAAAGCACAGTTTGGCCAAAATGATTACAATACAATAACTTTCGGTAAATTAGTGGATTAGGTCATTTGGGATTTAGGCCGTGGTGGTATTATGAACTTCCAGTGCAAAACAAATTTTTGTCAGTACTGGGGATTCAACCCAGAGGTGCTCTACACTGAGCCACATCCCCAGCCTTTTTTATTTTGAGATAGGGTCTTGTCTTGCTGAGGCTGATCTTGAACTTGCATCTTCCTGCTTCAGCCTCACAAGTTGCTGGGATCATAGATGTGCACCACTGTGCCCAGCAAAAACCAAATATTTGCAACAGAAACAAATAACCCCAACCCTCACCCCTGTAGTTTTGGTTTCTATGGTCAGCAAACATTAGATAGAAAATTCCAGAATTTATGAGTTGTCAATTATGCATGTGTTATGTATGCCACCTGCTTGTTCCTCTCTTAGTGACCATCTGGGTTGTCAGGGTGATTTGCATGCAACATGAAGGGGAAAGACAGACTACATCACATACCTTTTTATTTACATATATTGTTGTAATTTTTCTCTTAATAGTTATTGTTTTTGTAGCTTGGGAGGCTAAGGCAGGAAGATCATGAGTTCGAAGCCAGCCTCTGCCAAAGTGAGGCACTAAGCAACTTAGTGAGACCTTGTCTCTAAATAAAATTCAAAATAGGGATGTGGATCAGTGGTTGAGTGCCCCTGAGTTCAATCCCTGGTACCCCCCCGCCCCCCCCACCACCACCAAAAAAAAGTTAATCTCTTACTATGCCTGATTTAAAATTAGTAGGATTCGGTACTCTCTGGTCTCAGGCACCCACCAGGGGTCTTAGAACATCTCCCTGTGGATAAGAGGGACTCTTATATTGACCTTGATCTTTTGAGATTTTAAAGATTCAAGAAATCTCAGTTTGAGGTCTGTCTCACTTTAGAACATTCCAGGAAGCACATGTTTTGTGTTTTGCTGCATCTTTGTACTAGATCACAGCGCCAGCAGCGCTATGTTGCTTGGTCCATTGTCCCCCTCTTGACTCTGTGGCAACTGTGTCCTGTGCATGTTTCAGTTCCAGCCTGCACCTGCTTGTCATGGATTCCCCACTGTTGCTGCATGCTCATGGGACTGAGCTTCATACCTCTAGTTTCTGAATTGCATGAAGACAGAATAAGGTTTTACCCAATGAAGACAGATGCACAGCAGCTTTAGTCTGAACTTTTTGTATGTAGAAATGAGGTTTTATTAGATTCTGATTTGACAGAAGTTAACAGTTTGAATCAGTTTGAAAAGTTTTAACAGTGTTTACATTTGTCAGAAGATAGAAAATGGAGGTGGCAGAAACCAAATTATCTTTTGGATTATTTTGTGATTACGTAAAAATAAAGGTGGCAGAAACCAAATTATCTTTTGGATTATTTTGTGATTATGTAGGGTCTCTCTTTCCTTTTAGTTAAAACACCTATTGCTGACAATGAAAGGTAATACAGGTACTATATCTAGAATGCTTGGGGTTAGAGTGTTTCTGATTTTTGAGGTTTTGAAATTTTGGACTATTTGCAGACTTAGCAGGTTGAGCATCCTTTATCCCAAAATCAAAATCCAAATGCTGTGAAATCTGAAACCATTTGAGCTGTTGGTACTCAGAAAGTTTTGAATTTTGAAGCATTTCAGGTGAATGCTCACTCTGACTAAACCTTTGGGGCAGAATGCAGTGCTTCAGTGCATGGTGTTTAATAGTGTGTTTTGCATTAGTACAACTCTATTATGGCTCTGGTTTTGAGACTGGTGCTTTGAGACTGGCATTTCTTTCTTCTGTCTGCACTAAGGCAATTACCATGACCTCTGGAACTTAGTGAGCTCTTTAGTGTTGGTTGCTCATTTTGAGTATTGTTTATTTAAGTTCAGGATTTCTGTCTTTAATTCTTATATATCTAGTGTTTACGCAAGTGGGGTTACAGAAGATGTGAAGATATTTGTTGGATTAAAACCAACAAAAACAATCCTGGGAAGACAAAGACTTTAGATCCCAAGGCTGTTTTCCAGAGAACAAAGGTATGGCATCTACTGTTTTGTTTTCTTTACTCTCATATTTTTCTCTCAAGCATTTCCAAATCAGTATCTACTGTTCAGTTAATCTGGTGGAAATGTCTCTTTCCTGGGCTCTTCAGCCGTGACGAGTTCTGGGGGTTAAGTGTTATGAGGGATGGTGTAGAAGACACTCTGTGTTTCCTGTCACCCGGCAGACACCCACAACTGTATCCCAAAGACTCAGAAACAAAGATTGTTTTGGAATTGAGGAGTGCTATGAGATATGACTTGGTAGAAAGTGTGCTATTGTGCTCTCACTGTGCAGGAACACTGCCTCATGGGGATCAAAGGAACCGTGAAGAGAAGCACAGACGGGGACTTCATTCATGCTAATGTCGACATTGACTTGATTATTACAGAAGAACCTGAGATTGGAAATATAGAAAAACCTGTGGAAATTTTTCATATAATTGAACATTTTTGTCTTGGTAGAAGACGTCTTCATCTGTTTGGAAGAGATAGTACCATTCGACCAGGTAGGACCTCAGTAAAAAAAAAAACTGTGTGATTCCTTGGGATATGTATTTTAAAAGAGTAGTAAGTAAAAAAGGTAGTAAGATGAAGTTTTTACGTGTTTGATTCCTTTTGGTGTACTTCAGATATGAGCAGTTTTAGGTTTGCAGCCAACTTAGAGGGAGGTGCAGAGATTCCCCGTCTCATCTCTGCTCTGCGGGTGCCTCACCTCCCTTCTTCAGGGCTCCCCACTGGTGCGGGACACTTGTTATATAATCAGCCAGCAACATTTTCTCTACCATTCAGTGCCGGGTGCAGTGGTTTCACCCCCTAAAAGTCTTCTTCAGTTATTTTTATATATATATATATATATATATTTATTTATTTATTTTTTAGAGAGAGAGAGAGAGAATTTTTTAATATTTATTCGTTTTCGGCGGACACAACATCTTTATTTGTATGTGGTGCTAAGGATCGGACCCGGGCCGCACGCATGCCAGGCGAGCGCGCTACCACTTGAGCCACGTCCCCAGCCCTTTTTTGATATATTTTTAATTGTCACATAATAATTATGCACATCTACAGGGTACAGTGACATTTTAGTATGTGTGTGTATACAGTGTGTACTGATCAGATCAGGGTAATTGCAGATCTTTCACCTCAGGTGTATATTACTTCTTTGTGTTGGGGACATGGAAAATCTCTCTACTTGCTGTTTTTAAGTATTCGGTTGTCAGCCATAGCTACTTTGCTGCGCCTTGTAGAACACTAGAGCTGCTCTTCCTCACTGTACTCTGTACCTGTTGGGCCCCTCTGCCCAGCCCATGCCTCTCCCAGGCCACACATAAGGGCCATTCTGTTTCCGGACTCCTCCTATAGATAAGATCGTGCAGTGCTCATCTGGCTCATTGGTGCCCGAGCTGCACCCACATTGCTGCTGTGTGTTGGACCTGCCACACGGCTGTGGTGAACAGTGCTGCAGCAAGCACACCTGGGCAGGTCACTCGACTTCCTGATTCCAGTGCCCTTGGGTCTCTCCTGTGGAGTGTTTCTAGACTAGGAGGAACCCCGCACTGTTTCCATAGTGACTGTACTAACTTACCTTCCCACCAACAGTGTGTGGGCCCCTTAGTCTGCATCCTCACCTGCATTTGTTATTTCTTGGCTTTTGGACAATAGACATTCTAACTGGGGTGAGATGACGTTTTGTTGTGGTTTTGATTTGCATTTTCTTGATGATTTTTGATGTTAAACATTTCTTCACAGCCTTGGCCATTTATCTATCCTCTTGGATTTCTAGAACCTATCCACTGTAAATATTTTGTGGATGTGAAGAGTAGAGCAAAAATTGCTTCTGAGATTTTAATAAAAAAAAAAAAAAAGGTCCTGTTGGCATGAAGAGCAAAGTTATATGTAATTTATTAAATTTTCACTGATTCCAAACTCAGTATAGTATATAAGTGCTATCTTACATGGATGGGGAACAATGAGGAGGATGTATTACAAAAGGCATGTTGCAGAAGAAACAGGATTGACAGGTGTGAAGTCCTTAAAACGTGACCGTGATGAAGTGCTGTTTGTTCCGTAAGGGAGGCCGCTGTTGTGGGGTGAGTGAAGGGCTATCCTAAGGATGCACAGGGCCTTTAGCCCACCCCTGAAGGGTCAGCAAGGGAGTGCAGATTAATGGGTTGTCTGTCTTTCTCCTCTTCAGGCTGGCTCACAGTTGGACCAACACTGACAAATAGCAACTACAATGCAGAGACATACGCATCCTACTTCAGCGCCCCTAATTCCTACTTGACTGGCTGTACAGAGGAGATTGAGAGACTTCGACCAAAGTCACCTCCTCCCAAATCTAAGTCTGATCGGGGTGGTGGCGCTCCCAGAGGAGGAGGAAGAGGGGGAACTTCGGCTGGCCGTGGTCGAGAAAGAAATCGATCCAACTTCCGAGGAGAAAGGGGCGGCTTTCGGGGAGGTCGAGGAGGAGCACACAGAGGTGGCTTTCCCCCTCGGTAATTTTTAGAGATGTCAGTCCTATTCCTGCCCCTCTAGCCTTTGGGTGGGAGACTTACTTTCAGGACTCAGTCCCTCTCGCCTTTGTTCTGGCTGCTCTGCCTGCCAGGAACAACTTGCAAACTTCCTCACCAGTGTCGTACCTGCGCCATTTTGTTCGGGGTGGGCAGTCTTCATGCATGCATGTAATTGAGCAGGACGAACAACACAGATAGCTTTGCTTTCAGAGACTGAATTCACTCTGATTTTAAACAGTTACAGAGGCTTCTGCTTTCTGGGAGTGGGTGGACAGTGGGAAGACGCCGTCTGGTATCAGGCTGGAGCTGAAGGGAGTCCATGGCACATCCTTCCTTTGCAACCACAGCAAGTGGGGGTCTGCTGCACCCATGGTGGAGTGGGGCACTCGGAACCTATCTGTGGGGGTTCAGCATTTCCTTGTTGAAACAGTAAAAGAAGTGCATACTGCATTTTCTTTCTTTTAAAAAACATTTTAAATAAATTCAAACATAATTTGAGTACTGAAGAAAGCAAGAGACTTTGAACAAAATCCCCTCCTTCCAGGTCCGAATCTGAGAGGTGAGGTGGAGCTGCCAGGCAGGATAAGGAGGAGGTAGGGCACAGCATGGAAGCTCTTTCTCATGGTCTTGGTCCTGTAGCTCCAGGTGACTTCTGCCCTTAAGGCACAAAGCAGGACAGAAATCCAAGTGTCCGGATGTGGCTGAGAGCTGGAACTTACATGGACCTTCAGAGCAGTTCATATTCCAAAGCCAAGTAAAAGCAGCTGACGCACCAGTAGAGACGCCTGCTTGCCAGGCGCTGGGCTTGAGCACCTAGGGCTAAGTACTTGGGCGTGAGGGAACGAAAGCGTAGGCTTGTTTTTCTAATGAAACTTTGAATCTTTGGCATTTGAGATTCTATTTTTTGTAAATGGGAATTACAGTTGTTACCAGATGAAACAGGATTGACTTAGAAGGGAACTCTTGTGGTTTCTACATTGTAGTGGCCACTCTGTTCTCATACAAGAGAGGAACTCACGCACACCAAGACTGAGCCTGTGAGCTCAACTCGCTCAGCCTGTTATGCTTTCCAGTGCGTACTGGTAGCATGTGATTATCCCCTTTCTTGACACAGATGTTGTGTCTCCCAATTGGTCAGTGTGTTTGTTGAAATGACAGTATAAACTGACTGGAGGTAGAATCAAAGGTCAGCTTGACCTGGGAATGCAGGAGGGAAGTTCCAGGTGCCCCTGGTGGGCCCTCAGAAGAGCTGGCTTAGGACTCTCCCTGGTTCCACACCTGGGCCTTCAAGAGACAGTGCTGTGGCTGGTGGCCTAGGCCCTGTGAGATCTGTTTCACAGTGATTCTTATGGAGGAGAGGAATGGCTCCTTGGTAGGTTGAAAGTTGGGGCACAGTAGCCTGCCATCATCAGAGAAGAGCAAGAAGGAGAGAGGAGGTGAAGGGAAAGGAATGCAAGCCCTAGAAGTGATCCCTTTGAAAGGTAGTCTGGCCTTCTGAACAACAGGCTGGAAGGACTCCTCGGCCCAGCCGCCTTCTCCCTCGGGAAAGCTGGGCATTGTCTTACAGTAGAGCGTTCATGACTCCGGCCTTATCTGATTTTTGATCCTCTTTATATTTACATGTTCCACATTTTCAGTCTAGAAATAAACTTTTAGTTGCTTTTCTTATCAGGGAATTGTGAGAAACAGCTCAATGCAAGAGGTCAGGGTGCAAGAAATGGGGTCATCATGGGGTCTGACTTGGTGCCTGTTGAGAGCCAGGGCACATAGTGGGGCAGGACTGCAACAGCACTGTTCTGAGTCTTGGTCAATAGCAGGGCCGCCTTTAGGAGCCCTTGGATCCCTGTGGAGAAATTAGACCACATATTTCCTGTGCCAAAGTCCAGCAGGGTTGTGCCAAGGGGACCCGGAGTTACAGTGAGCATCAGTGGCAGGGCTATTGTTATATGAGTGGTACCCATATTAACTGCTAATTTATACCTTTCAGTTAGTTACAGCAGTTGATTTTAAAAGCTGCTGATCTTAACCGCTAACGTGTATCTTTCAGTTCGCTACAGCAGCTTGTTCAAAAACCTAGCCAGGTGCAGTGGTGTACACTTGTCCTAGAAACTGAGGAGGCTGAGCCAGGAGGATCACAAGTTGGAGGCCAGACTGGGCAACTTAGCGAGATCCTGTCTCAAAAAGGACTGGGGATGTAGCTCAGTAGTAGGATACCCCTGGGTTCAGTCCCTAGTACCCCAAAATTTTAAAAAATAAATACTGGGATCAAATTTACTAAAAGGAAGTACGAGAAACCATCACCTTTAAAGTCATAGCATGTAGGTTAAAAGACTTGGCCTTAGTCTGCAGAGCTCTGGAGTGCACTTGGGAGGGAACGGAAGTCAGTCTGAGCTGTGCTCAGCCCCTTGGAGGACTCACATTGTGTGGTAGGCTGCAGCCGTTGCCTCTGGAAAGCAGATGTCTGCAGGCCGGTAGTTTGTGGAGGTTTAATGATCCAATCTGCTGCCATTTTATAGGCTTGTGCATTTCAAGGCAACTTCTGGGTTGTTAAAAGGCTGTGATGTAATGCTGTTGCCCATAATTCAGGTGAAACTTAGGACCCTAAGAAGCTAAGCTTACAGTGGTAAATAGGGGCTGAAGAGAGCAGCTAACTTTACTACCGTGAGGCTGACCGAAAGCAAAGTACATGCGTGGTTAAGAATACTGGGGTGGGCGTGCACTTGCCTGCACAGGGCTCAGGGTTCCGTGCCCAACACCACCGGGAAAGAAGACAATATTGCATTTATAATAACTCCAAATCAAACTTTGGAAAAAAGTAGATACTGATGCCAGATTGTGAGCCAACCAGCTCCTCATGTCTTGCGTCCAGCCCTTCCCTGACAGTCGTGACGGCACCAGGGTCTCAGGCTCCCACTTCTGGCTGCTCTCACTGTTCCGTATTCAGTTTGCTGTGGCGCCACACCTGCCTGTCTGCCTTTCTTTGCCTTTGGCTGTGGGGAATGAGTCTGTGGCTTGCGTTACATGAAGACAACAGGCTCCTTTCTCAGCCTGTCCCTGTGCAGGTGGTGGACTGCTTAGTCAGTGGGCCCTCCCCATGGCCTGCTTCACCATGGAGTGGTCGCCAGGGCCTTCAGCCTCTTAGGTCCTTTTCCCTTCTGCTCAGGCTTTCTTGCTGAATAGGGGCCTGTTTTCCTAAAAGGGCTTTCCCTCTGTCTCAAGAACATTATCTGGGAGGGTGAGGAAACAGTGATTTCCAATGAATTATTAGTTATCAACCGTCTTGAACAGAGTCGACTCCTGTGGACTGACCGAATTTTAAAAGGTGACTCTTTCCTCAGGATATAAGTTTTTAGTTACTTTCCTCCAAACACAACCTGTCAAGGAGAGCGATTAAACCACATCTATACCTCCTCCTTAATAATAGCCTGAAGGGGAAAAACTGTATCCTCCTATAAGGGACAGGCACAGTAGACTGGGAGTATAGAAGGGCTGGGGTGGTGCAGGGTGGCGCCCCAGAGTCTTGGAAAGCTGTGTGGTCAGCACTGATGCCCAAGGAGAGGCGACTGCTAGACAAAGGCTGGGTGGGCCTGGGAAGGTGCTGGCCACAGATGACCATTCACTTCCCAGCAGGGCTGGGAGTAGAGGTCTAGAAGGCCCAGTGTGGGCCTGGGAGGCGCACGGTGCCTCCTCCTGGAGCTTCCACGTCCAGTTTCAGATCCTTTTCCATGTTGGAAAAACTCAAGCTGGAATTGGACCTGGATTTCTTATTCTATTAATAGGACATATTTCCATCTGGCCAAAGTGAAAAATTAGTGACAGATCTTTCTTATTTACTCTCAGCCAGTTGTCATTAGGTTAGATTTCTGGGACGTGAAGTTCACATAAGCCTTCTTGAGAGAGTGAACTCTTCCTAATGGTTCCTTGACATCTGATCTGGAATTCTTGAGAGGTTCTTGTGGTTAACACTTAAGGCGTTGTGGCCCGTGCTTCTCGTCCCTTAAACTGTTACTTACAGCTAGTAGCTCCATCAATTAAAATATTTGTGATACAGCTAGGAGCTAGATTAATCCCAGCCTTCCTCACCCTCTGCCCATTTAATAAAAGCCCTAGCAAGGAAGATACTAGCAGCAGCAAACATGCACATGGCCTAACAGACAGGAAGCCTAAGTCCTTTGCCTTTACTGGCTCCAGTGATCTGACTTCCTAGGTTACACAGCCCT